GGAATTAGAACAGACAAATCGTCTCCATATTCTGTGTATAAGATAGGGCAATGTTTCTGTGAATGGGGAAACAGCCACGAGATCAGATGGTTTTAAAAGCCGATTCACTAAATCGATAGAGGAGGCCACAGGAGTATTAGTCACGAAAGTTCGGTGAAATCCCTTCAGCGAGCTTATCCGTTGCTGGAAAGTAAGAGTGGGAGATATTTAAAAATATTCTGCTTGTGAGAAGTGGGATGCTACTGAAAAAAGACTTTTTGGTTCCACCCAGCCAACATGCTAAGATATAATGTGTTTTGGTTTGAGCTTGGTGTGTCGTGAGAACTCAACCACTGCAGTGTATAAATCATGATTTATGATTTCGTGGGCAGGGTGAACGGTAATTTCTTCAATGCACCATGTATAACTAAATAGTTTCATGTGTGAACCCAGTCTTAGTCTGAGTAAACCAAGGTTATTCTTATGTTCTTATTCTTACGTTCTAACAGCCTTTCTCAACCTGGTGTCAGAGTGGTCAATGTGTTGGAGTTCAGTTTGTTTGGAATTAAAGGCTGAATGTTATAACTGGAGCATATTCTAGTATTATGTTACTCACAGTGAGGTCTTAAGCTAACTCCGAAACAGGAAAGGTTACAGATTCCCCACCCCAGCATTAGATTCTGCCCCATCCCTATCTTCACAACCATCCTTTCCACACTGATGTTTAGTTCACACATTGCATTAAGTTAGGGTCAAAGATTCAGGCTGCAAAAACTTGATTGACCAATAAGTGACTGCATAGAGTTCCTGGGTTTTTTTAACCCTTTGCTGCCATTTTAAGTCTTTCAGACGTAACTAACATTCAGCTCTATTGTGGTTTGTTAGGTTTTAATTTAGGATGTTATGTGAATCCAGGCAATAGAAATGATATAAATGATAGGTTCTTCTGCAAGACCACAAAACTCCTTGATTACAAATCCTTGTTTCTCTAGGCAGCAAGCGCTCCAGATGTGAACTACGTGATAGATAGACCTTTGTTTTATTTATTTATATTTATTTATTTGGTTTATTGGTTAGAGAGTCAAAGCGGGTGGAGGGAATAAGAAGGCACACGCTTGTTAACCAGATGTTTTCTTTTAACTAGTGGTACAAATTTAACAAAAGCATTGCGGCCCTTTAAAAACTAACAAATGTATTGTTGCATAAATTTGTGGACCAATCACAAACCAAGTAACAACCTTCAGTTATATTTCTTTAATAGTGGCTGTTTTATTCAGTTTATTGTTTTTATTGCATTGTGGGATCTGCCAGTTGTTCCAAAATCATACAAAGGACAGTGTATAAATGTGTGAATAAACACAAATAAACGTTTTGCACTAAAAGGTAGCCACACTCCAGAGACCACATCAGTTCAACTACCCACCCTGCTTTAAATGGCACATTTACATTTTAACAAGATAAAGCAAAATATTCATAGTGATTACTCATTTCACGTTGGATCTAGGTTTGTGCAAAGCCAGCTATTGTGGTCTGTCAGCCACAGGAGAGTTTCACACGTTGGGTGAACTCATCTGATCATGGCTAAGGCAACCAATAGTGGTTAGGCAGGGTGCAAACTCCGTAACGGAAAGGGCTTATGCCGCTCTTCCAAACGGAGACCCTTCCCAACGGTGAATTATGAAAAGTGTAACCTGGAGCAATTGGGAAGATCTCAGGTTGGGCTAGGATGTATCTGGGGGGTGCAACAGCCCCCTAGCCAATTGCACCTATTGTGCTAAACCTCAGTTCTGCTAGCCCTGATTTCCCCCTGGTCAAATAAGGCCATTTTAACATCCCGGGCAAGTTTGGAGGGCTGCTTGTGGGGCGAAGCCAGCCATCGTGGTTTGCCTCTGACAAACCCAAGATGGCTTGTGCGGTGGGAACGCCAACACTGCTTAGCAGCAACGCCTGCCCGTCTCTCCTCCTGCGGCTGCTGGGTTTATTTTACTATTTTATTTACCGGGGACTGGAGGGTCG